GGGGGAGGTGGTGGGAGATGCACTTTGTAAATGAGAAAGCAGTGTGTAAAATGTCAGTTATCATCGTAAAGACAGTGAGCATATTACTTTGAGTTTTTCATGCTACGGATGTTGAACTAACCAATTACCACTGGATTGAAGGTCCTTACCCTTTTCTGGGCCGTGGTAGCTGTGAGATCTGGTCTCAGGAAGATTGCTGGTTGAATAACTGATGTTCTAGTGTCATTTGTAGGATTAGTGGCATAATTTGATTTCCAATCCTACAGGCCAGGCATGACTGAGACAGTGACATTGTGGAATTGGTATGATGAGATTCACGATCAATTCTTTTAAACAGATTTTAAAAATAAAATAAACTTGGGGTACACATGCTCTTTCTGTTCCTGTTTTCTAGAGAAGAAACAAAAAACAAGTCCCGAGCTTTCGGAAGTTGATAAGAACGAGTAAAGTCAAACTTGAAAACAAGCTTAAAAATAAGCAGTTTAAACAACAAAGCACTCTCAAGAAGTACCGGAAAGAACAGAGGAAACTAAGGCAAGCTGTAAGAGATGCGGTGTCGAAGAAACCCGTTCCCCTGGAGGACCCAAAGGGAAAACGGCCAGGTAATTGTGAACATTCCTGTGCCGTCGTCGTCGTCTCCTTTGATTTGTTCTAACACATTCTGGGTGGAAATAACCATGCTTTCTAGTAATTACTTTTCTTGCTTTCCGATCTTTCTCCTAGGAGGTAAAAATAGTTGTCCTGTATGTTTTCGCACAGTTGATGTGGGAAAACATACCAGTATGGTATTCATCATGTGAAAGAGGTAGCCTCCTCTGCTTCGTTTGTCTTGAAAGCAGATCTGAATATCTGGCTCTGGGGACAACAAACTCGGAAGAGGTTTGTAAATAAATGTGGGGCAGCATGCCAGGGCTGCCACCTTTCCATTCACTGACTGTGGGCTAAGTTAGGAGCATGTCTCTTTTTTTTTCCTGGTGTTTTTCTCAGAGCTTCCAGGGTGCACTTAGATTTCTAAAGTTGTGGTTTTCTTTTCCCTTGAGGTGGAATTGGGCAAAAAATGATCAGGGTCATCCCTATCAAGCTAACAATTCTCAAATACTTAGAAACCTAAGGAATGATATCATAGCCACTTGGAGCCTTTTATAACAGTGTTCTTAATACTCTTGGGTGTTTATATTTGTACCTCCCTGGGTCGTACAAATGGCTAAGCACTGGAATATCACCCAGAAGGTTGGCTTTTGGAACCTACTTAGAGGCACCCGAACCGAAGCCTGAAGATGTGCTTACAAAAGATCACAGGCTTGAATACATATCCATGGGGTAGCTCTACTCTGCACACGTGGTGATGTGTGAGTTGAATAACTTTATTCAGCCTTCACATATCCACCTCATTCTCTTAATCCTGACATTTTCAGTTTGAGCCTTTGGCATAATATTGTAATGACTAAAAGATCACTGGACTGGAAAGCTGGAAACCTGGACTTATCATTAGTTTATTTTGTTTTGTTTACTTATTGCTAGTGTGCCCTTTGTCAAAGTCATTTAATTCCCAGGTCTTTCGCCTGCAAAAATGGAATGGTTGAATTAGATATCTTCAGAGCTCTTTCTGCCCAAATGATAGTAGAGTTAAAAGTATGTTTGTTAGGAATAAAAAATTATATTTCTTTATCCTTATGTGCTGGCCATCTGAGTGAAGGCTTTATCGGGGAACTGGGTTAGGGAGAATAATTTGGAATAATTAACCAATAGACTGTAACGAAGCCTTCCCACTACTCATTGCCATTGACTTGATTCCAGTTCATCATCGATTGAGTTGATTCCGACTCTCAGCAACACTGTAGGACAGGGTAGAACTGCCCCTGTGGGTTTCCAAGACTAAATCTTTATGGGAGTAGTTAGTCTCATCCTTGTTCTGTGGAGTAGATTTGAACTGCTGAACTGCTGTTCGCATCCAAAGTGTAACCCAGGACACCACCAGGCCTCCTGTTCCAACTCATAGTAGACTTAAATAGGGTAGAGGTTTTGAATATTTAGAGCAGTAGACAGCATCAACATAGACTTAGATAAAATCAGGTGGAGATTAATTAGCATGCGAATTGGAGGACTTGGGACAGAATTTAAGTAGCCCTAACATTTAAGAAGGAATTCTTAGGTAGCATAAAGAGTTACCACTCTTAGGCTGCTAACTGAAAGGATGGAGAGTCGGGTCTAAACAGAGGTGCCTTAGAAGGAAGGCCTGGTGAACTGCATCCAGAAACATCAGGCATTGAAAAGCTTGTGAAGCTTGGTTTTACTCTGGTGTGCACAGGGTTGCCAAGCGTTGGAATCAAATTGACAGCAACTGGCTTTACCATCCAAGAAACAGGTGGAGAAGGAAAAACCTGAAAAGGGTCAGGAGAGCCAGACAAGTTAGAAGAAAGCCATGGGAAGCTATACAGCTATGAAAACTGAGGTGGAGCTATGTGCTGTCTATATGATTTGTATGATCTACATCTGTGTATTATTTTCTCATGTGGAATTACCATGACTGCTATGGAACCAGTAGTGAGATATATTTTAAGTACTGACACAACAGTGACCAACTGCCCTCTGGAAAATGAATTAAATATTGTAAACTGCTTCTATGAAGAAGTCTGTGGACAGAGAATGTTGAAGCTACTGGAGAGAGAGGAGTTTTATTTTTTTTTTTGAGGGAGAGAAACTATTTTGATGACAGAAGCTCCCCGAGAAGGCCAGGGTTAGACTCCAGAGCACAGGATGAGAGATACCTCTTGCAATATTGTAAGAGAGGAGGAAGAAAGGAAGATGCACATGCTTTTACATTCCGGGTGGGATGTTGAAGTAGGTGCTAGCTTATGGCTTCTTTTTTCTCAGCAATGCCTGTAATGAGGTCCTGGGTGCCGTGGGGGCAGAGTTAGGCTTAGAAGGCTGAGAGTTGAAAAGGCTAAATGGAAAAATGGGGCTGACAGATAATGGGGCATTTCTCCTCAAACTTTGGTTCTGCCCAGCATGTCAGTAGTGCTGCACTTGGAAAGACCAGACTAGGTATTGGAAGAACACGAATATTCCTATTGCAGACACAGAAATGCAATGCCGTCTCCATCTATAATATTTTTTTCTAGTATTCTCGTGTTTCTGCGTGTTTCTAATAGGTAAAAGGATTGAGAGGGACGAGGAGGAAGAAGAGGAAGCTCTTCCTTTGGATATGATGGATGAAGATGACTTACAGTTAATGAAGGATTTGGGACAAAGAGCGTCTTTCCTAACACGAGATCTTTCCTCCAGGTAATAGTCGTTATGAAAGTCTGAGGTGTGAAGTAGAGTGGGGAGGGATGCACTGCAGCACAGTCCTGCGCGCGCTCTGATTATGATCTCTCAGAATCCTCTCCTCCTGGGAAGGTAGCGTTCCCATTTACAGAGTGTTAACTGAGCCTTCTTCACAGTCCCTAGAAGTAGATCTGGAATTTAAACATTAGTCTTTGTAACGTCAAAGGCCATGTCATGCTCTGGAGGATTTGGGGGAAAGTACACTAGCATGATGTCATCCCTTGGCTCTGTAGAATGATAGTCTTCAAAGAAGATCTGAAACATTTGCCTTTGCTTTGCATCTAAATAGAAAGCTAGATGTTGGCCTAGTTTGCACCTGTGCAGTAGATAGACCGTGTGATTAATTGATGTGGTTAGTATTGATTGGGGTCTCTGCTATGTGCTAGGCACTGGTCTAGTGGTGGGCACAGGAAGGTTTGGCTAGGCTTGATTTTTTTTCTGTACTTTTTAAAGTGGTAGATTACCAGGTTGCTTTTAAAAAGCTAGGCACTGGTTTAGTGGTGGGCACAGGAAGGTTTGGCTAGGGTTGATTTTTTTTCTGTACTTTTTTAAGTGGTAGATTACCAGGGTTGCTTTTAAAATACATGAGCACTAGTGTATTAAAATTAATGTTTACTCATATGACGCTTTCCCCCCCGTCAGTGAGCCTGCTCACGTCAAGAAACGAAAGCACGAAAGCATCATAGAGAAATATGAGAAAACACCGCGAACTCTGCCATCGGCGCCGGAGAAGGAGCTGATTCACTTGCTGCCTATCAAAGATAAAAGCGGGATCATTCCGCAGACCAGGGAGAAGCCAGGTGAGTTTACTCAGCCAGTGCAGGAGTTAGAGTTCCGGCTCTTCATTAATACTGCCACGTGCTTTGCCATTCAGAATTTAATTTTTAAAATAACGGCAATCTACAGCATACAAAAGTAGTTGCAGTCAGTCATGCCACAAGTCTGATGGTACGGGCTGGAAGCCAAGATGATTATCTCAGGTGTCTGTGTACTGGGAGGATAACTGAAGCTCTGAGCATCAAGTGAGCTTCTTTTTAGAGTCTATTTCACCAGCTTGGTTGTTTCTTAAAATGAGAGCAGACTGGCCCTCCTGTGTTAGCTATACGCTTCTTTGTAACGTGGAAGAAACCACACGGAAATGTCCAGGCATCAGCGGTGAAGTTACATAGTTTCTCACAAAGCACATACCTATAAAACCAGCACCCAGACACTGCCCTTGTGCCCCTCTCAATCACTTGTCACCCCCTCCCTACAGAAGTCACTACACCTCTGAGTTTCATGGTAATCTCTCCATTTATATATTTCACCATTTATACCTCTGTCAGCCTTCTGATTCACATCTTTTCTATATAGTTATTGACAGTAGCAAAGAGGAAGAGGATCAAGAAGATGAGACAGGACAAGAGGAAGGTAATCAACCATATCTGTACAATCAGTAAATTATAATGGAGAAATTTTTTGTATGATAGCAAACATGAGTTTAAATACTCTGGTCATGTTGAGTATTTTTCTACGTTTGAAAAAGCCACATCTGGAATGGGACACCGTCCTGTGTTTGGTTTATCAGATTTACATGTCATCACTAGGCGTGCATGCAGGGACCTGTTAATTGTTCTTCTGAATTCTGTTTTAATTGTGGGAGAAAGACCTGCCTACAAATAACTATGTAATGTTTTTTTAGCCTTATATTATTAAAAAATGATTTGGTTGTTTAGAATCCTGTGTTTCTTTCTTAGAGCAAGTAGACTTTTTGTCTATATTAGATAACTGAAGGTGGGCTTCTCACATCCAGAACGGTTCTGATTTTGGTTAAACTGAATGAAATATCGAATGTTTGGAATTATGCTGCCTTGGCATTGCTAACAGAAGACCCTGGTTACATGTTACTTAATGACTTACACCTCTGTAACTGTTAAATCATCCTTCCCAGGCGCAGTACAGATTATGCTTGTGTGTTGATTTAAGTAAGCCCCCTATCAATTTCTTAAGATGGCTAAAGGAGAATAGTCTACTTAGAAAAACAAAATCAGACCGTCCTTTCCCTTAGTTAATCTGAGTCATTGTGGCTTCATCTGAATAGTGGTAAACAATGGGAATTTCTGGACTCAGACTGCCTGGAGTTGAACCCCATCTTTGCCAGGCCTGTGAGTTCTGTTCGGTAAATTTCCTACCCCTTCCCTTGGCCTCAGTTTTCTTATATACAAAATGGGGCTGATAATAGTACCTGCCTCTGATAATTGTCCAGAGGATGGTAGGTAGTAATGAACGTAGAGATAGTGGCCATGGTTATGACTTTGACGATAATTGATTGAAGTTCATGGGTGCTGTTTAATAAAGGAGTACTTACGAAGGAAAAACCTCTTTTAGAGATGATTCAAGATCCCATTCCAGAGCTGACCATAGAAGAACACTTACGCGAGAGGACGAAGAAGCTGCAGGAGAAGAAAATGCATATTGCAGCCTTGGCAGCGGCCATCCTGTCAGATCCAGAAAGTAATGTAGGTGATAAGAATAGTGCCCAGGATATATTTACTTCTTTAAGGCTCTGTTTTTACCTACACGCATCCATGAAAGGAGAAGTGTTAACTAAACCTAGTAGCTGAGTCAGAGCAAGAGAGTGGACAGCACTGTAATCTGCCTGGACTTGTGCGATCACCTCCCTGGGTCCTAGTTTCTTCGTCTTCAAATGAAGATACTGAACGGAATGGTACATCTATGAAAATTGGGCAGGAGGGACTGGCTTGCTTATTAGATTGATTAGTGTATAGGATTTTTAATAGGAAACATTCTGTGAAACATATCAGTGATGTTAGTCCCAGACTACTCTTATCGTGGAAAATATTTTAAGTGATGCTGAGCCAGAGATTTTCAATGAGTCTCGTCATTGGGCTATAGGTCCTGCCACAGTGGTGAAGGTGGCAAGGGGTTTGCTTTGTTTATTTTGGAGACAGGGCTTTGGGCAGGTTCATTCTGGTATAGTACCCTGTTGGGAAATTGCTTTATCTCCAGCTAACACTAAATCGCACTCCACAATTAATGAGATTGTAGTGAATCCCATAGATTTCCCAAGGGTCTTTTACGCATCTCTACTCCAACCTCCATCATTTGCATTGATACATTTGTTTGGAGTCTTCTGATGCCTGATACCTGATCCTGTTGACATCTCGTGATCACACAGGCTGGTGTGCTTCTTACATGTGGGCTTTGTTGCTTCCCTGCTAGGCTTCAAGTTTTTAAGACCCCAGACACTATATCTTGTATTAGCCAGGCACCATCAGCTTTCCTTACCACAGTTGATTATGCACCCATTTTGACTTTAGAAATCTTGTCGGAAAGGTGAGCATCATAGAATGCCAGGTTATTAGAAGTATTTTTGCATTGAGGGAGGATTTGAGTAGAGAACCAATGCCTGTCTGCTACCTTAATACTTAACATTTAAATATGGGTACATAGACCTATATCCCTATTGTTACATATTAATGTATTTACAGATACACATGCCTCTATTTAGACCTCTATAAATGTCTTTTGTCTCCTAGTTCTTTCCTCTATTTCCTTTGACTTTCCTCTTGTCCCACTATCCTGTTTGACCTTCACTTGACTCTCAGTACTTCCTCTAGGCTACATTGCCCTTGATCAAACCCCGTCAGGCATTCTACACCCTCTTTGCCATTGTTTATAGGTCTCTTATTGTTCCCTTCTCCATGTACATAAGAATCATCGGGGTTCTAGGTATAGATTCTGATTGAGTGTATCTGGGGTGGAAAGGCCAATTTTCAATAGAGGATTGAACTCGAAAGACTCAGTTTAAATCCTTGCTTTGAAACTATTGAGCCCTTAGCGTAAATTTATCGTCGCCAACACTTGTAGTGCACATGCAGTTTTGAATTCATTGAAAAGATTCCAGGCCTTTACTGTAATAGTGTGATGGCTAAGTAACAACTGGATGTATCTGTTTTGGCTTACCTACAAATTCCAGTTCATGGCACCGTTAGGAACTCAATTCATCTGTAACCGAGGACTGCCTGCACCTCATCGAATCATTATAAAACCACAAGAGACAAAGGTTGTGGCTATTCCTTTACAGCTGAAGATACTGAGTCATTAAAAACAAACAAAAACAAAGCAAAACTGCAGTTGTTGTCTATGTGAGCAGCCACTAGATTGGAGCTCATGTCCTCTGAAGCCTTGTCATGATTTTCCACACCTTGGGAATAGTAAGGAGGTGGTGCCATATTTGTCTTACTGCTTGTTCAGGGCTGACACTGCTCACCAACCAGACGACGTTTCTTCAGACAGCCTTGCAGCGGACAGGACTAGTAGTTCATCAGAGCAAACAGTTGTTGATGCCCATCTTTCATTTCTGTATTCTCACTGCCATTGAGTCAATTCTGACTCACCGAGACCCGATCAGACAAGGTAGAGCAGTCTTGAGGGGTGTTTTGAGACTGTAACTCATGGGAGCAGAAAGCCTCTTTCTCGCATAGAGTGAGTGATGGTTTCGAACTGCTGGCTCTGGCAGTTAGCAGCCCAATGAGTATCCCACTACGACACCAGGGCTATTTATTTTCGTATTATAAGACATAGATGATTTTTGCAATAGTTTTGTTGAAGTTGAGGTTATTGATTTATTTAATTTCTGATTAGTTGGTATATATGTGCTTTCTATATTTGATTGGTGTATATAACATTGTTTCCAAATATATTTCAAAAAATGTTTTTAGGAAATTTGGACACTCATTAAGAAAACCCAATAAACAATGAATTTCTAAAATTAGATAAACTAACAACTTTAAGCTGCTTTTAAAAGTGTATGTATTTTTTGACCAGTTTAACAAAAATACGATGCACTTAGAGCATTAGTGATTTTTCCATTATTAAAGTGAATTGTGTCTGTGGTGCCTAACTAAAGAATGACATGCTTAGTCATCATCGAGGTTCACTTTAGGTGCCAGGTGGAGGGCTCTGGTCAGCTGTGCATAGTTATTTTCCTACGATGTCTCTCCCCTCACAAGTTGTTTCTTTAACAGATTAAAAAGCTGAAAGAATTACGTTCCATGCTCGTGGAACAGGACCCGGATGTGGCTGTGACTGTCCGAAAGCTGGTGGTCATTTCTTTGATGGAGTTATTTAAGGACATTACCCCTTCGTATAAAATCCGGCCCTTAACAGAAGCAGAGAAATCTACCAAGGTAGTGCTTACTGTTTGCTACTCAAAGTACAATGGACATCTTGGAGAGCTGGAGATGGCGTTTGTTTGTGTTACAGCCCAGGCTAAGTTTTGGATTTTCATCTTTAAAAATGATTGATTTTGTTGGTCTTTTCAGATACGCAAAGAAACCCAGAAATTGAGGGAATTTGAAGAAGGCTTGGTTAGCCAATACAAATTTTATTTGGAAAATCTGGAACAAATGGTTAAAGGTATACTAAGCTTACACTAAATGCATATAACACATTTTGCATTGATCAGGAAGGTGCATTTTTATTGGACGAGGCAATACAGTGCATGGTCGAGAGCAGTATGGGTTAGATCAAAACCCAAACCCAGTGCCAGTGTTGGTTCTGACTCTTAGCAACCCTGTAGGCTGGAGCGGTACTGCTCCCAAAGCTTCTAGGTTGCTTAAATCTTTTGGGGAGCAGACACCTCATCTTTTCCTTGTAAGTAGCTAATTGGTTTGAACCACTGACATGGTGGTTAGCAGGTCAGTCCTTAACCCTCTGTGTCACACGAGCTCCTGAGAGTCAAGCCTCTCATCGCAATCCACCCAGAGAGTTTGGAACTTGTTCAGTCACCAGCCCATTAATCTGATCATTAGGATTTGAATCTAGCTTTGTGACTTAAAACCTAGTGTTTTGGCAAATGCCTTAGAGGAAGTCCAGCCTAGGGACTTCTTTTTTTTCCTTTGAAATCATTTTATTGGCGGCTCATACAACTCATCACAATCCATCCATACATCATTGTGTCAAGCACATTTGTACATTTGTTGCCATCATCATTCTCAAAACATTTGCTTTCTACTTGAGCCCTTGGTATCAGCGCCTCATTTTCCCCTCCCTCCCTGCTCCCCCGCTTCTTCACGCTTGATAATGTATAAATTATTATTATGTTGTCATGTCTTACACTGGCCAAAGTCTCCCTTCACCCACTTTTCTGTTATCCGTCCACCAGGGAGGGGGTTATATGTAGATCCTTGTAATCAGTTCCCCTTCCTTCCCCTACCCCACCTTCCTTCCACCCTTCCGGTATCGTCACTCTCACCACTGGTCCTGAAGGGATCATCTGCCCTGGATTCCCTGTGTTTCCAGTTCCTATCTGTACCAGTGTACATCCTCTGGTCTAGCCGGATTTGTAAGGTAGAATTGGGATCATGATAGTGGCGGGGAGGAAGCATTTAAGAACTAGAGGAAAGTTGTATGTGTCATCGTTGCTATCCTGCACCGTGACTAGCGCATCTCCTCCCCGTGACCCTTCTGTAGGGGGATGTCCAGTTGCCTACAGATGGGTCTTGGGTCCCCAATCTGCACTCCCCTTCCTTCACAATGATAATGATTTTTTGTTCTGTGATGCCTGATACCTGATCCTATTGACATCTGGTGATCACACAGGCTGGTGTGCTTCTTCCATGTGGGCTTTGCTGCTTCTCAGCTAAATGGCCACTTGTTTATCTTCAAGGCTTTAAGACTCCAGACGCTTTATTGTTTGATATCCCAGCACCATCAGCTTTCTACACCACATTTGCTTATGCACCCACTTTGTCTTCAGCGATGTGTCGGGAAGGTGAGCATCACAGAATGCCAGTTTGGTAGAACAAAGTGTTCGTGCATTGGGGGAATACTTGAATGGAGGCCCAGTGTCCATCTGCTACCTTAATACTAAACTTAGAAATATATGTACATAGATCTATTTCCCCATCCTCATATAAAAATATATTTACATATGTACATGCCTGTATTTAGACCTCTATAAATGCCCTTTGCTTCCTAGTTCTTTCCTCTGTATCCTTTTACTTTCCTCTTGTCCCATTATCATGTGCAGCCTTCATTTGGGTTTCAGTAATTCCTCTTGGTTACATTGTCCTTGATCAAACCCTACCAGGCCTTTTATTACCCTCCTTGCCACAGATTTTTGGATCACTTGTTTTCCTTTGTCCCTGGGTTTGTTAACACCACTTCCTTTCCCCCACCTCCCCCTCTTTCATGCCCCCCCCAAACCAATGGTCCTGTTGTTTTCTCCTCCAGATTGTTTATCCCACCTATCTTATCTAGATAGACCTGCAGAGAGAATACACACAAAAAACAAGACAGAGCAAAACAAAGCAACAAAAGTAAGCAACAACAAAAAAACCAGTGACAAAAAGAAAAGGCCTATACAAAATTCAAGGTCTGTTTGTTGACCTTTAGGAGTATTTTCTAGTCGAGGCTGATGGGGTGTGTATTTTGGGTACTCCCTCAGAACTTCCTTGCTCTGCTCCCCTTGCTGTTCTGTTGCAAGCCTTTAGTATTTTACCTCTGCGTGGGGGGTTCAGATCAGGCGCAATTCCCACACTGTGTCTCCAGTGTTGCCCCATGTAGGGCTATGGGTCAGTGGGGGATGTCGTGTCTCTGCATTGACTGCTCTGAGCAGGGATATATCATCCACAAGGCTTGGTGGACCAGTATGTGCTCTACTCTCTTCCTCCCCCTTCATTTGCTCCCATGTGCTCTGGTCAGACATGTCCCTTTCCCTGAGCTGTAGCTTCAGTGTTGTCCTCTGATGTAAATTCTTCTGGGGTGGGGGGTGGGGGTGGCTGTCCACGTAGTTGGGATTGGGGCTGGCCCCTCAAACCTCTCTACTGGTTCCCTGCTTCATGCCAGTATGTTGTGTTCACATCTTGGAGCACCGGGTTGAAGTCTGGTCCCTCTTTCTCTGTGGAGATATTAACAATACCCTCCCCTTGGGTGGGTTATTGCCCTGTTCCCCGCTACATGTTTCTTTTTTTCCCCCGGACCATATGTATCCCTAGATTTGGTATGGCCCCTACCATATTACATTGACCTCACCCCAGGAATGTTTGTATAGTAGCTCTTTTCCTGTTCCCCATTAGCATTTTTTTTTAAGGTCTAAGCGGACTCATGTCCTAGGGACTTCTTTAAGGTGTCTAACTGCTCCCCACTGACACCTCCCCCCTTTCTGTGCCCTTTAGAAACCCTTTAGACCCAGTCACATATGAAAAGCCACACTTTGCACGATTGTGATTAGAGTCAGAGAGTAGATGATAACAGAAAAAGTTACATGTAAGGTTGATAGGTCTTGTCTAAGCTCTAGGGGTGTAGTGGTTATGAGTTGGATCAGCATTTTGAAACCACCAGCTGCGGTAAGCGAGAAAGATGAGGCTGTCTGCTTCTAACGAGTTAGTCTCACAAACCCATAAGGGGCCGGTCAACTGTCCTTTAGAGTCAGAATCGACTGCTAGCAGTGAGTTTAGAGTTTTACCTAAGTTTAGTCACAACTCAAGAATTAGTACCTTGCATTTTCATCATATTGCTTGCATATTTGTAAGAGAAAGGTCTTTAGATTGAATCTTAACCAACAGTGAAGTAACTACAGTTTTATGTTGGCTAGACTGGAAGCAGAGGAAACTGAAGAAAAGTAATGTCGTTTCCCTAAAGGCTTATAAAGGACTGGCAGAAGTGGCTGTAAAGAGCCTGTGTGAGCTGTTGGTGGCACTACCTCATTTCAACTTCCACAACAACATCATTGTATTGATCGTCCCGCTCATGAATGACATGTCAAAGTCGGTGGGTAGCTTGCTGTGATTGTTGATCTTGTTTTCAGTAGAACAATGATAGACTGAATTTATGTATATGTATATTTAACCCTTTCTCAAAATTACTTTGAGTCTATTAATAAAGTAGGGCTACTTTTTGTTAAACTCTAATCTTTAAGAAACTTATTTGAAAATAAATTTAATGCTGTCATTCACCACTGGAGGCAATTTTAGTGCCCCCCCCCCCACACCCCCTTTTGTCCCAGAGAACATTAAGCAGTGCCTTGGAGGCATTTTAAAAACCGAGTTTTAACTTTGTTGTTAGAACAGACAGCAGTTCAACAATGTCTACAGGTACAATTCAGAGGCATCTCTGAAGGCATCTTGGTGGGCGGGGCTGCTGGCAGCTCGTGAGTAAAGACTGGGGTTGCCTTTTTAAAAAGTCCACGACGGTGCCTAGGACAGCCCTCCACAGCAATGACCTGACCTGAGGCTGGGGAACACTGGTTTAGTGTGACATTTTATTTTTCAGATATCTGATATGTGTTGTGAGGCAGTGAAGAAACTCTTTAAACAAGATAAACTAGGCCAAGCTTCCCTTGGTGTAATTAAAGTAATTTCTGGTTTTGTGAAGGGCAGAAATTATGACGTTAGGCCAGAGGTAAGCATATCTTTTCCATTTTTTCCCTTTGCATTTAAAAATTACTAAGTTACTTATCACTTACTGTAAGGAATTTATTCTTAGAGGTAACCACCATTAACAGTTGGGAATATAGCCTAGATGTTTTTCTATGCAAATATAGGCATATGTACTTGTTTATATTTTGAAATAAACATGGGCTTATACTATAAACACTTCTGGAACTTTCATTCATTTCATATGATGATCTTCTAAGTACTTGTATGTGTTGTAGACGCACATCTAGAACTCCTCATTCTTTTTTCTACTCTTCTCTTGTATGAACATGGTACCCTTCTAATAGCAGCTGGCCTTCTAGGTTTTTGCTATTTTGACATTGTTGAAGGGGCCAGCTTTGGCCTTATTTTTTTATGCTTATGTTCATCTTCTGTGAGTTCAATTTCTAATGGGTAGGCCAGGATCAGACAGTATATATATTTAGAATATTAAAAGTTTGTTGATAAGAGCCGGAAACACAGGGAATCCAGGACAGAAAAACCCCTCGGGACCAATATTGAGTAGTCATACCAGGAGGGTAAGGGGAAGATGGGGGAGAAAGGGGGAACTGATCACAATGATCTACCTTTAACCCCCTCCCTGGGGGATGGACAACAGAAAAGTGGGTGAAGGGAGACATTGGTCAGTGGAAGACATAAAAAAATAACAATTTATAAATATCAAGGGTTCATGGGGGAGGGAGGGGGAAAATGAGAAGCTGATACCAAGGGCTCAAATAGAAAATGTTTTGAAAATGATGATGGCAACAAATGTGCTTGACACAATGGATGGATGGATGGATTGTGATAAGAGTTGTACGAGCCCCCAATAAAATGATTTTTTTTAAAAAGTTGATGCTGAATTGCCCGCCTTAAAAAAAAAAGGGGGGCAGGGGGAATGCTTAGAAAAATGGGATGAGAAGATAATGGAATTTTCTGCAAACTTTGTGAAGGCCCCTTGTACTTTCTCAGGCCCACCCCAGAGCGGCTGAATCGGAACTGCTGGGAATGGAACCCAGCAGTTTGTCTTGTAACAAAGCACGGGTTGATTTGAATGCGTGATAAAGTCAGAGAATCATTACCTTAAAGGAAAACAAGTGTTCTTCAAAGTAATAGTGCCAGTCTTCACATTAGCTCTGGTCTAGAGAACATGTACCATTAGCTACCAGACCGAAGCTGGCTTGGTACGTTTCAGCTGGTTTACAAATACCTAGTGCATATGCGTCCCCCTAGCCTGTGCCAGCCCTTTCCATCGCCTGTGCGCTCTAGTTCGGTATGCCGAGTCGTGTGTGTGCTGCCTTACTCTCACGAGATTGTGCCTCGTCTTTTAGATGTGAAGCCAGATGCTACTGCCTTTTCATAGATCAAGTAAATATGTTTGGCAAGAGGATAATAGATTATTATGGGCAATGTGAGGGGATGTTTCTGTTCTTTTGAATTCATCCACGGAGGGAAATAAAGGGCAAGCACTTGTTTTGCTTTTGGATGACAGTGTAAATAGTAAGTTGTGTGTGTTTGTGTCTTCTTTTCTGATGTAGATGTTGAAAACATTCCTGTGCCTACGAATCAAGGAAGTAGAAGTGAAAAAAGACACGGAGGACATTAATAAACCAAAAAGGTTTATGACTTTCAAGGAAAAGCGAAAGACTCTGTCAAGAATGCAGAGAAAGGTTTGATTCACTTCCTGTTTGGGGTATAAGTAGCTACTGTGTTTGGATTGACCTGAGTTGACATTCGGAGTTCCTTGTACGGAGACCGCCGTCACGGTGGAGAAAGGCCCCATAAGCCAGGGAGCCTTTTCAACAAGGAGTCCGATGAGAGAAGAACCCCCAGCCCCTCCGTTTCTGCACCAGGCCCCTTAGCAGTCATCACAAGAAGTAGGACATAATGCTTGCTCACATTTCTTTTGAGTATCTGGTCTTATGCACCGTATGTGAATGTGATGGTGAAATGTGTATGACTAACGTCCATGTTATTGGCGATTTAGCAATGAGATGATTATCCACTAAAAGCAGAACGAAATGTCGTTAGGTGCTGTTGTACTTGATAATTTTAGAGACTGCAGAGAATAATGGAGTCTATCTGTGTCTACCATTGGGAATGTGCAAACACTCATTTACTTCAATTTTGTGTATGTATGAGAAGAAACAAGTGGTTGAAGATACAGTTGGAATTTTTATTTTTTGACTCTTTCCAGTCTCGGTTTGTGTGTTTTCTATCCATGATTTTCTACCTTTGTTTATATACGCATTCATCTTATTGTGATTGATTCACAGTATTTTATATATGATTTATAAAAGCTTCCTTTTGAAGCTTGCTATTTTCACACAGTGGTTTATACCCAAGCATTTGTCTCTTTAAACTTTTTCGTCCGTTCTTTTCAGTGGAAAAAAGCCGAAGAGAAACTGGAGCGAGAGCTCCGGGAAGCAGAAGCCTCAGAAAGCACTGAGAGGAGACTGAGGCTGGTAGGCGGCCCCCCTTCTGCTCCGCGGCTTAAATAGTCTTGCTAAGTGAATGCTTGTAACTGGAGATGCAGCGTTCCACTTGTGCTTATTTAATTTTGGCTTATTTCATGAGACTTGGTCATATGAGGGGTCTTCCAAGAGTTGGTGGGAAAATGGGATTAAAGGATAATGCAATTTTTCCAGAAACTTCTTGAAGCCCCCACATGTCTCATTTGTTTTGATAATGCAGTAAGCCACGGTGTGATCCATGCTAGTTTTATGAATTTGCTATTTTGTTCAAGCTTCAAAGGAGTTGTGGGGAGAGGCGGGAAGGGAAAAAATTTAATTAGGAAACCCATGAGAACAAGTTTGCCAGGTTGTACTAAGGTTGTATTCCTCCCCACCCCCACCCCGTTTCTCTTGCCAGCATACAGAGACTCTGAATATTGTGTTTGTAACCTACTTCAGAATATTAAAGAAGGCCCAAAGGTCACCTCTCCTGCCAGCAGTTCTAGAAGGACTTGCCAAGTAAGGGCTGTGTAGGTTGAAACCTTTTAGATTCTTTCTAAATGGCTAAGTGACCTTGAATTTTAAATTGTATTCACTAATGACCTGATAGTCTTCTCAGTCCTCATTCCATTTGAAAACTGCTCTTAAAACTGTGCTTATTTGCTTTTCTCATCTCAAACTTTTCCTTTTTTAAATCTGTCAAGAATTCCTTCTTTCTGTTTAATAAATTGTGGGTTCCCGGAAGGTTCCTCTCTCAGTTCTTGGTTCTTTGTCTGTTGCACTCAGTCATCTGCTGATCCCTTTGGGGGCGGGCTCAGGCAGATGACTCAGTCTGGTGTGGCCCCGCTTGCTCATCATTTCCCTGTTCCTGCGAAGCCAGTTCCTGCCGACACAGGCCTTTTGCTGTTTCCGGGAACACTGGTGACCTTGGTGGGGGAAGGCAGTCAGGTCAATGGCAGTCTCGGAGCCTCGCACACTCACTGAAGAGGTTTCCTAGAGTGTGCGGCACATGTGTGACTTAAAGTCTGCTATTATCCACATTGAAACAGTAGAAAGGAATGTTGCAATTAGGTGCTGTCATAATTTTTAATTTATTTGTCGAACTTTGTCCTTTAGAATGTTTTTTTGGTATGCAGGCACTAGCAAGCATTAGTAATGAGATATTTTTTTCTAGAATATGTCTTACAAGATAGGTGTCTAATTTTGCAATTTCAGCACATCTCAGTCCGAACTAATCCTGTTTTTACTGTCTACTAGCCATTGTTGGGCTACGGGTTGGGCTGCGAACCACAAGGCCACCAGTTTAAAACCAGGAAGGGAGGAAGCTGAGTCTTGCGCTCCTGTGAAGATTTGCGCTCTCGCTCTGTCTCCCTCCTACAGGGTCGCCACGACTGGGAATACACTCTGAGAGTGAGCTACTTTGAGTGATAGCCGTTGTGACTAGTGGTTGTTAGTGTCAGTGCAGTGGTCAGAGACGCCGTGACTCTTAGCTAGAGGATATACAGGTCAAGTTGTCTTTAACAAATTATCTTCTAACAACTAGAGCTGTTTAATGAGGTGCCTCTAGTTGTTAGCTCTGGTAATAAGTCTTCAAAGTACAAACATGTGGCTTAATACGATGTAAATTTGCCTTCACATTGAAACTGTTAAACTAATCCTAACAAATTGTTCATTACTATAGCCTTTACCTGCACTTAGTAAAGCTAAATAAGAATCATATGCACCTGTTCTAACGTATTTACAAATTAGACTTAAAAATACACTTAGAAATGAACCTTGTATACAACTTGTCAATCAGTTACCTGTGTTCCTAGTAATTTAAAGTGATTTTTTTTTTAAAGAAAATTCCTTCATGGGTAGGACTCGCTGTTTGTTTTTTTCCCCTCAGTGATCAGATTCGGTTTTTGTTCTTGTTTTTATAAATTTATTGGGACATAATCCACATACAGTTCAGTAGTTTATCATATCAAGAAGAGTTGTACAGTTGAGATGTCCACTTTTGTGACCCCCTTATGTCTCATTTAAAAGACCTCCATTTAAAATCAATAGCAAATTACAATACAACCTATTGGGCAGAGATGCATTGGCCACTGACCTGCATTTACCTTCAGATTACTGGCAGATGGCTTTTTCCAGGTGGAAGAAGGAAGGAAGCAGCTAGGAAGCGTTTGGAACTGAGAGGTGCATTCTGCAGCTTTGGAGGTCGCTGAGGCTGGAGAGCTGAGTCAGGGCAGTTGTCAGAGATCCTGTGAGTCTGGGAACACGGCCTGCGAGGCCGTGGGGAAAGCTAGAAGCAGGAGAGACTCCACGATCAGTTTCTTTCTCTGGAAAAATTTTCAAAAACAATACACATTCCCATTGGAGACACAACTGTTAGTCTTACATGGGGCAAAAGACAGTGAAGGAAATCAGAGACCCGGAAAGGGGACTAATTTGTGGGACTAAATGCCGGCACAAACCACAGCATCGCCTATCTGAGACCAGAACTAGAGTGGATGGCACCTGGCTAGCACTATTAAGGTTTCAGATACAGTGGGAGAGCGAGCGCAAAACTCGAATTTCTAAAAAAGGTCATATTTATGGAACCTATAGAAACTAGAGCCCCTAAGATTATCACCCTAAGGTAATAGTTAAATTTGAAGCTGTTTCCATAGGTCACCTTTCAGCCAAATAAGATTGGTAATAAACACCCTCATCTGTAGTCACATTTATTTAACACTTAACTGCATGATATCAAATAGCCACTGTTTACCCTAAAGCAATGACGAGAAGGCCAGGAAAAGGGATGCAAGGTCAATAGAAACAACAAACAGGGAAAAAACCAGGATGGAAATAATAACGCTGGCAAATTTTAAAAATGTAACCAATGGCACAGCAATCTGCTTAAAAATTAAGAGGAAATTAAATTTTATTATGTAGACTTTCATCTAAAACAATAGAGTATAACTTGAGAATTAATAATAAATTCAATTGCAAACTTTCATCTAAAACAATAGAGTATAACTTGAGAATAAATAATAAATTCAATTGCAGAAGGATATACAACAAAATATTAGATGCCCCTCTCCTGTCTATGTATGTAGCCCTCTACCTTCTTTTACACAATTGGAATCATGCTTATATGTTCTGTTGTGTAACTTATTTTATTTGCCTTGGGCATCTTTCTGTGTTAACAGAGATTTACTCCTTCAAAAAAGAGTATATTAGGCCCGTCCCCTATGCTGCACTGAAAATGTATGTATATAAATGTCTTCATATAATTGTGTGCATGTATTGGCAGTCAAAGGTGGTATACTCCTTTAAAATTTCCATAAATACAAATTGCTTCCCCCCAAATTTTATACTGATACACAGAGAATATATGAGTTCTAAGGTTTTTTTAAAGAAGATTCTAAGATGTACATAGAAAGGCTCTCAGCTAATACTTGAGATATATTTATTTTAAACTTTTGCAAAACAAAATCAAACTCACTGCTATGGAGTTAGTTCCGACGCATGGCATTGTATAGGATAGAGTAGAAGTGCCCCTGTTAGCTCCGTATGTGAGTAGAAAGCCTCCTCTTTGCCCTTGGAATTGCTGGTACTTTGAGCAGCTGACATGCAGTTAGCTGTCCAGTGTGTAACCAGTACACCGCCAGGGCTCCTTAAACTGCTTTACTGCCTAATGATTTGTAGAGTCCTCTGATTTATCACATATGATTCTCTTTCACCCTATTGGAGTGGTTGCCTCAGTTTTTATAAAGACAGGTCCAGCACAGGTGACTGCACAGGAGTCACATGAGTAGCTCTAGCAGAGCCGGATCTGGACACCGGGTCCACCATGGCTGTAGAGCTGCACGCAGGTACGCGTCTGAATCGCAAACTCTCTCTCCGCCCCACTTCCCACTGCCTGTTACCAGAAGTCCTCAACCCAAAGCGATCTTAGGCGCTTAGTAAACTCGCCTCAAGGTAGTTAATTGCTCTTAGCTTTTAATGTGAAATATGAGTGAATCTCCAAAAGTTCTTGGAAAAATGGAATTATAAGGTACTGGAACTTTTCCATGAGCTTTTGGAAGTGTCTTCATATTTATAAGTGTGGTTAGACATGTTTGTGTCTGGATTTCTGATGAGTAGTGTATTTTGGCTTTGAGTGAATTGTCAAGAAGGCCAGTCTGTTAATGAAAGAGTTTTTCATTTTCAGTCATTCCATCGTAGCTAAACGTTTTGAAAGAAGGGAGATTAAACATACAGTGCTAAAGTCCAGCCTGATATTTAGCCGCTTTAGTTCTGCCTTTGAGTTACCCGTTCATGTTTTGTTTGGTTTGGTTTTAGGTTTGCTCACCTTATCAATGTGGAGTTTTTTGACGATATATTAGTAGTACTGCATACACTCATTGAGTCTGGCGTAAGTAATTTGATCAATGAATTATTTTTTTAAGATAAGTAGAACTACCATTCTGACGGTCCTTTTTTTTTCTCTCCTAAGGACCTAAGCTACCGAGAAAGTCTTCACTGTGTTCAAACTGCTTTTCATATTCTGTCGGGCCAGGGTGAGGTGTTTGCCCCATCAGATTTTGTTTGCTGTAGCTTTGGAAGTTGTAACATACCTAACAGATGTTTGTTGTCATTTCAAAGGTGATGTTCTCAATATTGACCCCATGAAATTTTATACACACCTCTACAAAACACTATTCAAGTTACACGCAGGTATGTTTGCTTAGATAATGCATCCTTGATACCTTTGTGGGATCTTTTTCATAAATTTAAGAAGTGGTTTTTAATGCATAATTAACTTGTAAATAACGTAATACCATTAGTATAATAAATACCTTTAGTTAACTCATTACCTTGTATGGTAATTATTGTACAACATGTGGATATACTTCATGCCACTGGATTGTATGCTTAAAATGGCTAAAATGACAATTTTGTATGTGTTTTCCACCATGCCATAAATTTTACAAATACTTTTTTTAAGCGTGTACTGTGACTAGAATCATTATCAAGCTCATTGTCATCGAGTTGATGCTGACTTATAGGCACCCTGTAGGACAGGGGAGAGAGCCCTGGGGGTTTCAGACTGATTCTTGACAGGAGTGGGAAGGCTCTGTCTTTCTCCCTTGAAGCAGCTGGTGACTTTGCACTGCTGACTTGGCAGTTAGCAGCCCCAGATGTAACCACTGCCACCCAGGGCTTCTGATGGGAGTCAGGGTCGATGAAAAAGATTGTACAATTCTTCTTGATATGATTGAACTATTGAATTGTATGATATGTGATTAGGTGCCAATAAAAATGTAATAAAAAAAAGTCAAACCAGTGCCACACCTCGATATGTAACCTAATATAATTGGGGTGTATGTTGGACCTCTGTGACGTTCAGTGAACTCACACTGCGTCAAGGTAATGAGAAGAACAGCCCTGAAGCGTATACCTGCTGTTTCAGGTGCCACCAACAGTGGTGTCGAGATTGTGCTGCAGTGCCTGGATGTCATGCTAACGAAGCGCAGGAAGCAGGTTTCTCAGCAGCGAGCTCTTGCTTTTATTAAGCGCCTTTCTACCCTGGCTCTTCACGTTCTTCCAAACGCGAGCATTGGTATTTTAGCAACTAACAGAGTGCTAATGCACGTAAGTAGTGATCCAAATGATTTGAGCTACGTTCTTAGAGTACGATGAGCTTTTTGCTTGGTGCTTTGTGATTTTTGCCTTTTTACATTACTCTTTTAACCAACATAGTTACTTAGTGCCTGAGGTCTGAAATGTTTGTGAGAGACCATCCCAAAGCACCATGCATAGAGCAGCAGAGGAAATGGGTGGGTTAGGAATAGGAGGGAATTGGGAATCTTTTATCTTACTGCTTCCATTGTCTTTTTGCCAGAAGAGCTGGAGGGTGTCCAGGTTCTAAAGGAGAATCCTGATCAGAAATAGGGGAAATGCAGGGCAGAACTCCAAATTTTCATGGAATCTAAACTTCTGGAGCTATTAAGGCTTTGTAAACTCCCTTCACTGCTCTGAAATAAAATAATCCTGTAACCTTAAATTAAAAATATCCATTGTGTCTCCTTTATATAAAAGATTAAGTTAGCTTATTTAGTTGAGAATAGTTGTCTTGAACATCGGGCTCTTTGGGAGATTTATCTTTGTCGGGTCAAATGGATGTCAGCACCTAGAAAGGGCATATGCAAAGCTTCGAAGGTAGGGGAGGGCGTGTTCCTGGGGGGGCGAGGGGGGGGCAATTTGGAAAAGGAAGGTGAGGATGGGTGCACAAATTGAATAAAATCAGTGTCGCTGAATTTATTACAACACTCAAAATCAGATCATGAAAATGCATTCATTACATTTTTAAAAGGAAAGTATTCTACCTTGTTGACACTCCCAGAAGTAGCCAATATACTATTTGGTGGTATACTTTCAGAAGATGTATTTTTATTCATGTACAAATGCATGCAAAATACACAGTGAAACAATCCAGCTTCGTTTTAATGGAAAGGGGATTGTGCGAGGTCCATTATTATGCACGTGCATTTTTCTTTTTCCACTTCGACACTTCAGTGATGCTGGATGCACTTCCATGTCAATATAAACACAGCGACTTTCGTTCTGAAGGTTTATTTAGTTTATTTGATTGCCATTTATGCCACTCTTACTAAGTGTCTGCCACTGGCTGCTCCAAATGACCAAGAAGCTTAGTTTTCATAGCTAATCTGTGAGTCAGCCTTTATTATGGTCTCCATGTCACAGCTGGAGGAGCCCAGGCCCAGACAAAGTAAACCACCTTGAGAGACACAGGCAGCAAGCGGCAGAGATGGGATTCACATGTAGGCCATCTGGTGCTATGTTTCTCTGCATCTCTCTTGATGGGCAGAGATGGTTTCTTACAGTTTGCTATTACAGGTGATGGTACCATGAATCTTCTGATTGTGTTTTCAGTAAGCATTTCAATAGAACATCCGAAATGTGGATGGGTAGTTACAAAGAATATTGTGTTCCTTTGCAAGATAAAATGAACTTATTTGAAAGAAAGCCAACACAGGGCTAGCTCTCGGTAGTCTTTGTTCTCTAACAAACGTAACTTGTTTTTATTAAAAATATGACCATTTTTCAGACCTTCCCCAAAACAGATCTGTTGCTTGACAATGAATCTCAGGGAAGTGGGGTCTTTCTGCCTGAACTGGATGAGCCAGAGTACTGTAATGCCCAGAACACGGCTCTTTGGGAATTGCACGCACTGCGGGTAAGAGTAACTCTGGGTTTTTGTTTCCTGTGTTTGCTCTTGTTGTAGTACTTAATATACGAGGGGGCTTTAAGAAGTTTGTGGAAAAATTCCGTTGTCTTTTTAATTCATTTCTTCCGTGAACTGTTGGCAGCCCCTCACCTTTGGCTCTGGCAGTCCTTTCCAGCATTCTGGTTATGCCAAGGAGACTTGGCTCTGACTGTTGCTTAATTGAGATGCATTTCTTATGGAGCAGAAAATGCCAATCATTTAGCAGGGCGAGGTTCTAGAAGATTTTTTTGAAGTCTTCCCCTCACACTGTTTACAGTGGAACAGAATTTCTCACCACCTACCTGTTGGTGGGGGTCTGATCTGAGGAGGTGTAATAGAGGCGGTTTCATAGGACAGCGTCAAGAGTGGAGATTAGTAGAAAATACAGTTTGCCTTTCAGACACCAAAAGCAAGACGAACAGTCCCTGGTGGGCGAACTTGTCCAGCAGACAGATTTGTGTTCTGTCCTATGAGCAAAGGCAGTTTGTTTTTGTGGGCCCGAGTTTCTTCTGAATGACACACACACAGAGGGTTTTTAAGCATGAGTGTTAATTAAGGAAGAGCTTTGCTGTGGCTGATGTTTTAGAACGTTCTCACCGATATACAACGTGCTGCCCTGTTCCCTCTTCAGAGACATTACCATCCCATAGTGAAGATCTTTGCAGCTCACCTGATCGCAGGAGCACCTTCCGAAGGCTCTCAAGCTCTCAAACCAGACTTGAGCCGAAGGTATGTTTGTTATTGAGCGTTGCTACAAGCTTCCGTTGCCAGCCTTCTCGTTTTAAAGTAAATTTGCTCTAAGATGTAGTGTTAGTTGCACACCTGGATTCCGTCTCTCTTTAGGTCCCCACGATTGTTCTAAAGGGAATACATGCATATTATAATCCGGATCATTTTTGGGGTAATTGTGTTAACCTTTTTCTTGATGAATTATGAAAATCTATACACATAGAGAACGAGAGAATCCTGCCATATGTCCCCATATGCCCATTACTTGGGTCTAGCAGTTGAGGATAAGAATTCTGTATGAGCTGTTTTTACTGTGGCCATCCGTGAGTCCAGCCGTGGACTCCATGTGGACACCATGGCCGAGGTAGGAGAAGAAGCAAAGGAAGGGGGACTAGAGGTGCTTTGGGACCCTGACCATTGGGCAGCACTCGCAGAAAGGCCATGGTCTCCCTCCTGGCCCTCACAGCTGTCTTTAAAAGAGGTCTTTTATTTTGAAAATTTTCAAAAGCAGATACGTTGGGGGAAAAACCCCCACACGTCTTCCTCTACAAAATGACGTGGGGAATGCTTCAGTGACACACCGAGAGAACAGACGGTGCAGAACTGCCACCACGGGGAAGGAACGTGCTGCTTGCTGCAGACCTTTCTCAACCTGTGCAAACCCCGTTTCCATTAGCTCAGGAGTAACAGACAAGTGACCTGTGGGAAGCAGACTGATTTTCTGACTTGTCCAAGAGTTTGAACAAAAAACTGAAAAATTGGAAGACTGTATCTTAAAATCTCTTTTCCAGCTTCTCAGAATACCTGTCAACGTCGGGCTTACATTTTTCCTTGGCAGTCGTCTGCGGCTGCCCCGTAATGAAGCCTACACGCTGCAGCCTCCCTTTTGTTCTGAGCAGTAGAAAGTGAACCTTCTGCATTCTTTGATTAAATAAGAACATTTGCTGTCATGTCTCATCAGCCTTGCTTTTTCCTTTCCTTTTTATTTTGAAAGGAAAAAGAATACAATTCTCTATTGCTTTTGTTTTTCATTATCCTTTTCTGGTATGTTTTCCTGAGAGGCTTTGGTTGTGCACCTCCATTTTTGTGCCAGAAGCTTGCTTTTAGGGGAGAAGGTGAAGGTGGACAGGCTTATTTCAACACTTGAGACTGGAGCCATTCCATACCGTTGCCCGTCATCTCCCAGGAAATGGAGCTTGGGATGTGAGCCCAATTGCAACCCTTGCCTACTGCCACTGAAGAACAGACGCTAACCCCACTTCTTGCTAAGGATTGGGTCCCTCGTCATGGGTAGAGATGTGTATTCTGTTCCAAATGCCTTCTCCTTACTCTTAACCCAGGCCTGCAACTGAAGGGTTGCACTGAGTCGTCACGGGGGCAACCTTGTACTTTGTTCAGCCTCCCGGGACTGTTATCTAGTGGCCACGTGACTGTGGTTGTATTGGCATCAGCCGTCCGGTTGAGTTCCCGGCTGGTATTTTTAAATGTAAGCCAGACGTGTAACATTTTGCTATTACATGAGCATTTAGGATTTATTTTACATGAGCTGGTTGATTGGTAGCAAAAGCAGGATTATGTTGTTTATATCTTAATACATGTGCCATCCTTTGTGGGCAATCTGTAATTATTGACATTTTCTAATATTTCTGATTATAGAACCGCTGCTGAACTTTTTGAGACCTACTGCATGGCAGCAATGACATTTAATCCTCCTGTTGAATCTTTCAACTCCAAAAGGAAGGTATGTAAAACTTACAATTATAGGGTTTTTTATTTTGTTTTTATTTTTTAAATCATTTTATTGTGGTCGCGTACAACTCTTACCACAACCCATCCATCCATTATGTCAATCACATTTGTACATTTGTTGCCCTTATCATTCTCAAAACATTTGCTTTCTACTTGAGCCCTTGGTATTAACTCATTTTCCCCCCACCCTCCTTCATGAGCCCTTGATAATTTATGAATTATTTTGTCATGTCTTACACTGGCCGATGTCTCCCTTCACCCACTTTCGTGTTGTCCATTCCCCAGGGAGGGGGCTATATGTAGATCCTTGCCATCAGTTCCCCCTTTCCACCCCAGAATCCCCCTTTCCACCCTCCTGGTATCGCCACTCTCACCACTGGTCCTGAAGGGATCATATGTCCTGGATTCCCTGTGTTTCCAGTTCCTATCTGTACCAGTCAGTATACATCCTCTGGTCTAGCCCGATTTGTAAGGCAGAATTGGGTTCATGATAGTGGGGGAAGGAAGCATTTAAGAACTAGAAGAAAGTTGTGTATTTTATCATTGCTACCCTGTACCCTGACTGGCTCGTCTCCTCCCTATGACCCTTCTGTCAGGGTATGTCCAGTTGCCTACAGATGGGCCTTGGGTCCCCACTCTGCTAATACCTGATCCCATCGACACCTCCCTACTCTGCAGTCCCTCTCATTAACAATAATGATTTTTTGTTCTTTGATACCCAATACCTGATCCCATTGACACCTCGTGATCACACAGGCTAGTGTGCTTCTTCCATGTGGACTTTGTTGCTTCTCAGCTAGATGGCCACTTGTTTATCTTCAAGTCTTTAAGACCCCAGACGGTAGATCTTTTGATAGCTGGGCACCATCAGCTTTCTTCACCAAATTTGCTTATGCACCTGCTTTGTGTTCAGCGATCGTGTCAGGAAGGTGAGCATCATGGAATGCCAGTTTAATAGAACAAAGTACTCTTGCATTGAGGGAATACTTTAGTGGAGATCCAATGTCCATCTGCTACCTTAATACTAAACCTGTCAATATATACACATAGATCTATTTCCCCATCCTCATATATAAATATATTTACATATGTACATGCCTGTATTTAGACCTCTATAAATGCCCTTTACCTCCTAGTTCTTTCCTCTATTTCCTTTTACTTTCCTCTTGTCCCACTATTATACTCAGCCATCATTTGGATTTCAGTAATTCCTGTTACTTTGCCCTTGATCAAGCCCTACCAGGCCTCTTAAACCCTCCTTGCCACCGATTTTAGATAACGTTTTGTTCCCTTGTCCCTGGGTTTGTCAACACCACTTCCCTTCCCCACCTCCCCTTCTCCCATGCCCTCCCCCCCAACCTTTGGTCCATTGTTTTCTCCTCCAGAATGTTTCTCCCACCTATCTGATCTAGACAGACCTGCAGAGAATAATGTGCACAAAAACAAGACAGAGCAAAACCAAGCAACAAAACAAAAGAACAACAAAATGACAAAAAAAAGAAAAGCCTGTAAATAGTTCAAGGTCTTTTATTGACCTGTAGGAGTGTTTTCCAGTCGAGTCTGATGGGGTGCTGCTCCCTGGCCCCAAAGTCTATTTTTGGTATTCCCTTGGGATTTCTTGTATAGGAGGTTTTTTGGGGGAAAGAAATAAACCTCTTAAAAACCTGGCTCTAAACTGCTTGGTTACCTGATTCTTATTTTCCTATCTTGATGGTCGGAAGGCTTTCTGGGGTTGGAGTTCCGGAAAGACAACCACGAGGCTATTTCATGACACGTGGGACGCGTCTGAGACCCAGTCCTGTGCCTGTGTGTCAGTGCCAGTGTTGGCCACAGCCTGCCTTTTTCATTCTGCTGCAGCATATGTAACTTTCAACTTCTAATGCTTTTCCAGGATAAGGATTTACAAGGAGACTCATTTTTGAATGAAGATTTAAATGAGCTCATCAAACGACATTGCGGTGAAGCTGCTGCTCAGTTTCTGCCGGATTTCACCAAATGTTGGGGAACATCACGATGATCATGAAGGATGAAGAGTGTTGGTGTGTTTGTGCAGAGACACACAAAGAGAAGCTGTTAACGTGCAAGCTTTTTTTTTATACACGAGAAACTTTCTAAGAATGAGTAAGAGGAAAGGAAGAGTTAGATACTCTGTAACCTGGGGGTTCTAAATGTCATTAAGAAAGTAGAATCAAAAGCTTTTTTTAATGATGCTGCCTTTAAAAAATCTGCACATTCTAAGTTATTTGTGTATGTATATATACATAAGTATTTAGTCGCTTGTACACATGGGAGGCCGTGGTGGTGGAGTGGGCCACGCATTGGGCTACTAACTGCAGTTTTTCTTCTTGTTGAATCAAAGTTGTTGGTTAAGGTTAGGGCACAGAAAAACCAACCAAGACAATGCCTTTGGATTATTCAGCTTTTTTAATAACCAATGTAGCTTCATAGGTGGAAGTGAGAAACGTTTTACATTTGAGTGAATGTTATTTTCAATAAAGATTTTGAAAAAGGAGAGAATAGTATGAGATTAGACCCCAGATTCACTGGTTCTTCCTGAATAAGGTCTTAAGAACAGAGTGAGTGTTCATTATGGCTGCTTTCAAAGAACGCTGGAGTGCGGTACCGGTCTCTGAAGTCCTTTGCATTGTCTGACATGCTCTGGAGGTGGTAGAGGAGGAATTTGTTCAAGGATGTACTAAATCATGACTTTTACAATTTGATTTTGGGGTAGAAGCTACCAGTGTGGAGAGGTTGTGTGTGTGGGGGTGTAGGGCGTATGTACAATGCCTATTATGAATTGCCAAGAAACATTTTATGTTGCAATTCCTATATTCTAGGAATGGCTTGTGAAATCTGTTTTGATGCCTGGCTATAAATATTCTCTACTGTGAACTATTGAACAACTACTTTTTCTGCTTCCTATTCTTGGGCTGTAAGATTTTTTTTTTTTTTCTTACTGCACATCAGCCCGGCTAAAGAGATCTTACTGTTTCAAAGCCATAGGTCAATGATTGTAGGCTGGAATTTGGAGTGGAGAGCTCTTTAAGGTTTTTCTGCTCGTGAAATGAATGAAAATAGAAGTTCCTTTAACGTTTACCCAAGTGAGGGATATCAGCCTAACACAGTGCATGTTAGTCTTCTAGCATTATTCATATACGGTTTATATGTTTCTGAGGCCAATACTTTTTTACTTTTGAATATTTAATGTGATATACACATGATTGCTATGAACCTACCTTTAAGATATAAAGCAAAAATCCAAGAGTGTTGTAAATTGTGTAGATGACCAAAGGGCCTGTCGCTATCAGAGCATAAGTGGCCAATACTTGTCACAAATCATTATTTTCCAAACATATACCAATACATTTATACACAGTTTGGCAGCAGAAACTGCAGGTGAGGTGGAAAGTCAGTTTTACACTGGATCTTAGCTAGAAGGCCGAGAAGCGATTAGAAAGTCAGCTTTTAAAATAACAATTCACCCGTTCTTTCAGGCCTGCTGTGTGCGGTTTACTTTCTTGGTACATGTAGAGAATCAGAGTGGGGCCATGAAAGAATATTACCTACCATTAATTCAAATATCCTCTATGAATGTGAGGATGAAATACATTTGTGCATTAATTGATTCAACCAGGCAATAATTAGTGTTTCATTTTCAGAAGGAATGTAATCGTTAATGATATCATGCACCTCGAATCTCCTAATCTAGAGTCTTAATGGTTATTTTAAGTAAGGAAACACAGCGCACCTACTATGTGCCTAGCACCAGGCTAGACACTGAAAAATGGAGCAGGAGCAATAAGGTGTAAGACAGTCTTCCATGACCTTTCTGCTGAAGCAAATCAAACAATTTTAAAAGTGTAAGGCTTAGTGTAAGAACAAATGGCTTCCAAGTTCAGGACCTGCGTCATCTAAAATGAGTGTTTCAGAATGCCTGCCTTTTTGGCAGGCTTGAGCATAATTTTAGATCTAAGAGATGGATAAAAAGAACCTGGTAATCAGTTGTTACATCACAATCTTTATCCATCATCAGGTTTGCTTTTCGGAAGTTTAGATAGAGATATGACAGAGAACACATGAATTATAAACAGTGTACTATATACTGGGAATGTTGGCCCAAATCTGCACCGAAGGCAGCCAGAAAGGTCATCCTCTCTATTGGCATGGGAGCAGAGGGTGGAGCTCTATCTTAAAAGAGTAACTCCACTTTTACTGGATGAGTACGCGAGCCCTGGAGATCTTTTAGTCTTTATTACACATGGCCCCTAGGTGTCTGGTGGAAGAACGGAAGCTTTCTGCTCCTGCAGAGTTCCAGGCTCAGAACCCAGGGAGGCCGCTCTACTCTATCCTGGGGTCTCTACGCCTCAAGTCAAACCGATGGCAGTAGATTGGGTTTGGTTATTTCTCAGGTGTTTGGGTAGAAGAGGTCTATAGAAATAAAGGGAGAACAGAGTGAGGGGAAGATGTGGTTAGAAAACTGGTACGGATGGTAAGAGCGACCAGTTTCTTTAATGAGCCTCAGTATCTCCCAGGCAACGGAGATGGAAAGCCTTCCTGTGAAAGCCAGCTTCATTAAAACGAGGCACTTGTAACTTGTGTTGCCTCCTGATTCCTGATTTACCCTCAACCGGAGGATTTAGAAATCTCTTCCTTTCAAAGGATAGCAATGAGAAGAGGCATGACCTCGGAGGCACCTTTGCTTCATTGTTTCAGACGCACTTTTCCCTAAAGTTCATTCCCCCGGTGACGGAACACTGCACACAATCTTAGAGCTTCAGAAGAAACGGCCAACTCCGGCATCGTGGATCACAGTGGATTCTTACAGGAATGCTTTTCTTGCTAGCTAGTCTAAAAAGTTCATTCTGCTGAATGTGATAAACTCATGCCCCACTTTTGCTTTTAGTATAAAGCTTAAGATCCCCCCAAATCCTGTAGTAGACTGAATTTGCATATTTATATTCCTTTCGATATCAACTTCACTGATCAGAGTTCACTACTCGGATTCTAGTAGCATAGGGGTAAAGAAGGGGACTGAGTATGGTCCTGGTGGCTAATTGTTTAGATAACAGGAAATCTTTGTGGTATAATTCAGATAAGCCAACATCAGGTAGGGTAGCCCTGCTACATTTGGAACAATGCGTCATCCTTCCTAAAATCCCCGATAAGACCCTATCTCTAAGGCTCAAATACATGTTGAATGCCTTTTTTTAAATGCTTTTTTATACCTCACAATGTGATGAACAATCGGTTAGTTGTAGTCAGTTTGTGTGGAGTTCACGCACCTGTTCACGCATGGTCAGCTTCAGGTCTGGGCCGCAGCCGAACGAACTGCTATGGGCGGGGGGAGTCCAGTCACCGTCCAGTCACGTGGCGCGTGATCTCGACATGCATCTCATGACTGAGCACAGGTTCTTTCCATTGTGGTGCAATTGGGCGAGTAACTCAGCTTTCAACACATGGTAAGCCAAGCCAGAGAAACAAATACGCCTGTTAGTCTAAAGACTTTGCTGTCGGTCTTTTCCAGTGGGGCAGCATTGTACATTTGTTCCGGACTGTCTGATTTCAAAAGGCACCTGTAGAACCACCCCAGTGTAGTCTGAGCTCTATCCACCAACAGCTCTCGCTTTGAGCCAGTAAGAACCATCGAATGATAGACTAGCTGTGTGGCATATTTTCCACACTTCGGTTCTTAGAACATGCAGAGACCATGCTGATTGGCTGGTTGACGTTTACACTCGGTCAACAAACAGCTCAAAGCGAAGATTAGCTTTTCGTGTGTGCTTTTTTAATTTGCAGAAAACCATCCTATATTTGAATGATGTCCATGGGGTCGGAAAAGTTCAGATTCCACTCTGTAGGAACATGGGTATTTAATTTTAAAAAGCCGTAATATGCCTCACAGCAAGAATAAGCATCCTTTACACATATTTGACAGTTTAATACAGCAGGATTTGAGGAAAAATTTACGTTCAAAGGCAAGTCTGACTTGGATCAACAACTCTTCAGTGAAGAAGCTCTGACATAAATGCAGCCTGGTTCTGATGTTAAAAGCTCTATCTTCAAACAGTGAGAAAACCACTAATGCTAAGTCCATAAAGGGTATCAAGGAAGTTATGTATAATAAATAAGTACAGTGTCAGTCCAAACCTTGCTTCAATAAAATAAATCTCAATACGAAATGTACGTTTGCTTTTAGAAAATGGTTACATTTCTTAATAAGGAGTCACAACTCAGTCGATGAGAACTTGTACATCATTCTCAATTCATTCTGTGAACACCAAAAGTGGAACAATGTGAGTATATAAGCAATGAACTATGAAAAAAATCACAATTCTACACTATAAATTTTGAAGAGTGCACTATGATACATAATATAGAAACTAAATTTCACTTTAACGAATCTTAGGTTATAGGACATATTTACATTTTCCATGCCTCCAGATCTTCTGGTTATGAGCTATAAAATGTACGGCCCCAAAGCTTTCTAGTTTTCAGACAACGGTGCTGCTTGTTCCCCAGTCTGGGTTGAGTGAGGGTGAACAAGCTGGCCCTGACGCCAGTCGAGCTTGCCACCTGTTTTGGTATGGCCTCTGAGCTAAAGAGTTTTTACACTTATCAATGGTTGAAAAGAAATCAAGAGAATATGTGTGAGACATGAAAATTATATGGAATTCAAACTTCAGTGTCCATAAATAAGGTTTTATTGGAATATGACCATACTCATTCATGTACGTACTGACGAAGGCTACTTTTGAGCTACAACGGCAGAGTTTAGGAGTGAAGGGCCATCTGGCCCCCAAAGTCTAAAAATATTTACTATCTGGATTTTTACAGGCAACACTTGATGATCTCTGTTAAGTCTATTGTAAGCTCAGCAGTGTTTCTGCCGCCTGTTGATGCTTGGGCTTCTGCGGTCATCCTTGAGTGTACTGTGCTTAGCGTCAGCATGGACCTTACGTGAGTTGGGAAGGAGGCTTCAGTTCAGAACGCTTCCATTTCCAGTTGAGGTTTAAGGACGAGAAGGAAATTGCATTTATTTCCATCATGATCTTTATTTCGACTTCTTGCCAAAGGATCTTCACCTGGAATGTATACATGCGCTTGTTAGTGTATTTAAAATAAAGAGGCATTGACGGTGTAGCCTGGATTTAGGGTAGTTCAACCAACAGAAACCCAGAGCTCTGATGGCTGGATTTGGGGCCGAACTTTTGTCTCCCGTGAACTCACAGGATGTCCCTAGGAAGTGCAATGTGAGGCTATTTCTACCCGGAACACCATGTTCTTGGGAAAATTACTTTAGATTTTTTAATGTCATATTAAAATAAACTGTTCAACAGGAAGAAAAAGAATTCTAATTTTTATCTTCGGATATGAGTAAGGAAAATGCTAACTTATTTAGGAAATTTCATATTATTGCTGGGGAATAACCGTAAAACTTTAAAGTGACCAAAGTACTAAATTGGCCTTGTTAAGAGTGTTTGCAGAAAGACCCTCCCGCCCCCCTTTTGTGTTTTCAGAGTGGTCGTTCTTGGAAACACCGTGGTACAGGAAGCATAACCTGCCGTCGGGTTGACTCTGACTCAGAGTGACCCCATAAGACCCGTCATCTTTTAAAGAAATAGTCTTATTGGCAGATACGTCACAGACCGTACAATTGCAGTGTTCAATCGTGTAAGGCTGTAATCTGTATGAAAGTAGACCGTTACGTGGTGAGTTCAAAGAACAGGCCTTTCAGGTCTGAAATGCCAGACTCCCCACGCAATTCATAATTGAAAAATAGACTTCCAGTTATTATCCAGATGCTTAATGGCTGTGCCACCAGGCCTCCGTTGTAAGGGAGGCAGGGGCGGTCTGTGTCCCCCCACATCCACCAATGGTGAATTAAAGAGAACTCTCCAATCCAAACGACGCTGTGAGGTCAGCTTAATGATTCTGAACATGCGTTTCCGGTGGGAAATGTGGACCCAACAGCAGTCATTAAATCGCCACCCCCTTTCCAACTTTCCTGCAGTACACGTAATGAGCGATGCATATTAGAGGCAGCACATTCCTTTTCTGAAGTTAAATTTGGAATGACGCCGTGTGTTTAAGCACTTGGTGTAATCCTGTACCACGCTGAGGGCTCTCTCCAGAGGGAGTACCAGCCTTAGTGTGATTTTCGCACTTGTTAGGTGCTGTTGAGTGGGACCTGATCATGGCGACCCCATGGGATGGAGCACTGTGTCACAGGGTTCCCTGGTTGTCATTTCTACAGAAGCAGGGGGGTTTCCTGTAGAGCTACTGGGTGGATTTGAACCGCTAACCTTTTGGCGAGCAGCTCAGCCCTTCACCAATACCAATAGAACTCCAAGACTCTTTATATCATTATAGAAGTTATTATATAGAGGTATGTTTACATGATCAGGGAGTCCTGGTGGCATAGTGGTTACGAGTTGGGCTGCGAACTTCAAGGTCAGCAGCTTGAAATCACTAGCTGCTCCTTGGGAGAAAGACGGAGCTTTCTGTGCTTTTAAAACAGTGGTTCTCAACCTGTGGGCCATGACCCCTTTGGGGGGGGGTTGTCCAACGACCCTTTCACAGGGGTCGCCTGATTCATAACAGTAGCAAAACGGCAATGATGAAGTAGCAATGAAAATAATTTTATGGTTGGGGGTCACCACCACATGAGGAACTGTATGAAAGGGTCGCGGCATCAGAAAGGTTGAGAGCCGCTGCTTTAAAGAGTGACCATCTCGGACTCCTGTAGGAGTCAGAATCGACTCCCTGATAGCGAGCTTGTTTTTTTGCTACATTATCATACCTATGATTTATTTGTTGCAAGGTTCTTGATAGGAAAAGGCGTTATTTAAAACTTTGATCACCATTCTTGCAGACCTTCTACCACCTGTTAAGTTGGAGAGCCTTAACATTGGGTAGCTAGTTCAAAGACTCACTTGGCTTTTGGAGGCGGCCCTGATTGGCTCAGCCGCAGTGGGACTGAACAGAAGGCGAATCTGGGATACCAGACATTATTCACTTTCCTGTGCAGACTCACTACTGTCCGATGCTACCTGATGCGCACTGCTGCCCTCGCCCTACGGTTGCTTTCTGTACGGTCTTTGCAGGCAGGACTGACCAACCCTGAATTTCTAAGAACGGTGGGATATGCAGATATTCTGGATGAGGTGGTTGTCTGGTGTTTTGAAAGGGAGCCCTGGCAGCGGATTATTTGCTGGGCTGCTAATCAAGGTCAGCGGTTCGAAAGCATCAGCCACTGCCATGGGCTTGCTCTTCTCAGAAGACAAACGACAGAGGACACGTGACGCCCCGTGAAGAGGTTGAGGTTGAGCCCTGGCTCAGAATGCTGCGATGAGTGACCCGCTCTACCTGGTGCCACACGCTGCGCATGCTCACTGCCGAGAGTCCGCCACGTCACTTGAGGGTGAGCCGCTTGCGGTCTTCTCCTCCTTGTTCTGGACGCTCTCTGAGGCGCAGAGCTGAGAAGGCGATGGGAGCCCTCGGGGCTGTCTCGTTGACTTGGTGAGCTTCTTGAGTTCACTTGCAAAAGAAATGCCTTTCCGTTTATCTTCTCGGGATGCCTGGGGAGAAGAAGCAGCTTCCCTTGGTATTGGGTTAAACTCAGCAACCCCAGGCCTGTGATACTACATCAGGGAGAGCCCTCCCCCTTTCCTCCCTGGTCAATAGAGCATGTGAGAACGAAGGGCCAAGGGATTTCCCTCCCAGGACTGCTGAACCAGAAAGCCAACCGAGTCCTTCTCCCAGTTCATTTATTCGACTCTAGGATTTTCTCCTCTGCTTCCCAAGTGTGATGACACTGTGGGTAAGTCTATCGAACAATTTCTGTTTACCTGCACTTGCTCCTTTAGCTTCAGGATGAATTTCCCTGCACCTTTCCACTTGCTTTGGACCTGGAACACACACTCCTGATCCAAAAGAACCCGCTGCGAGGCCTTTAGGGTAGAAGACTTCTTGTTGGCAGGGTCTTTCAACACCTCTTCCATCAGCACGTAGTCACTCGGGTTGGGGTTGCTCAGAATGCTGTAGGAATATTTGGCTTTGCATAGGGTCTGGAAGGTAAGTAACGATCAACTGAATAAAGATTCGGTATCTCCCCAATGTATGCATTCGTTCTGAGTTAAACTTTCACGTGGTGGAAAACCACAGCTCTTCAGAGAGGTGGGAATCCTCCAAATCATGTCACCCGACTCCTTGTTTGAGATTTGTGCCGTTGTAGCTTATAACATCCTTCCCCCACCTAGCCCCATTTAGCGACAGACTAGTCCATGATGGAGGCAGTATTACCTCCACTTTCAGATGAAGTTCAAGCTTAGAGGTTAGACAAATTCCAGAGAATACACAACTCGCAAGTACCGTACATACTTGAGTATAAAACCAATCCAAATATCAGCCGAGGCACCCAATTTTGCCACAAAAACAGCATTAAAAATGTGCTGAAAAACTCAGTTAATACATGAGTATATACGGTAGGGACCTGAACCTGATTTTCTGCAGGTGCCAAGGCCCAACAGACAAAATGATCCAACCACGAGTGGCAGAATCCCGATTCTAGGCAGCCTCCCCCACCCCACTAGGCTCCCTCTTCATCACACGGTCTTGGATGTTGAAGCAATTCTAGAAGTTATTTGGTATCACCTCTCAGAGCATTTCATATATTTTTCAAGTATGCATTTGTAAGTCATCAATTGTTTACTGAAAGCCTTCTAGATGCCAGAGATGGTGCTGTATATACTGTGAGAGACAAAGGTGAACAACAGAAGCTGGCTCCTCTTGCAGTTCAGTGTACTGAGGAAGCTAAGACAAACCAAACAACGGCACAAGAATAATAAATAGGACTTACATAGTGCTTATGTATTACGTGCCAGGTCCCCTGCCGAATGCCACACAGATATTAACTTAATTAACCCTCAGAACAACCCAGTTGTCTAAAGTACTGTTAGCACCAATACTATACTTGTCACATGGTGGTGGTTTGGAGCCAGCTGGTGAAATCAGACATAGTGGGAATATTTACACAACAGAAACTGGCACATGCTACAAAGCAGGGCTTTCCCCCCCCCCAACCCCCTTGGAGAGGCAGTTTACCAGCAGACCACAGAAACTGAGCGACAGAGAGGTTCAATGGCTTGCCCAAGATATTCAAGTTAGTAGGAAGTAGAGTTGGGATTTGAAAGCTGAACAATTAGATGTAAGGTTAGAGCTTTTTCTCTCTTTTTAAAATTTAATCATTTTATTGGGGCTCATACAACTGTTATCACAATCCACACATCTATCTATTGTATCAAGCACATTTGTTGCCCTCATCATTCTCAAAACATTTGCTCTCTACTTGAGCCCGTGGCAAGGTTAGCGCTTTTCACTGCTACACTATCCCAGCTTCTCAAACGGGGGTTTTACGAATACACCACGACAAGGTTTTGAAGACAGAAATCAATTCTCCGAAGCCAGGTTAACCCAGCAGCATGAGCAAGGGGAGAAGCCTTCTGGGCATCACCGCGTCTTCTCTGAAGCCGTCCCGGGGCACTGAACCACAACTCTGCACTCTCAACCTAAGGTCATTATCATCAGCACTGTGTCCAGCTCCCGACTCCCGCACAACCAAACCCACCCAGGGGCCGGAGCTACTCCTGACTCGCGGTGACCTTGCAGTGCAGAGAACTGCTCTCCCATGCTGGGATCTCCGGGGGTCTTCTGAGGCGTCTGTGTGTGCTGACCAACTACCAACCCCACTGTATGTATCACTCAGAACCTCCTTTGACTCCTACTGGGGACTAGGGCAGCGGTTCTCAACCTGTGGGTCACGACCCCGTTGGGGGGTCGAATGACCCCTTCACAGGGGTCGCCAGATTCATAACAGTACTAAAATGGCAGTGATGAAGTAGCAATGAAAATAATTTGTTGGTTGGGGGGTCACCACCACATAAGGAACGGTATTCAAGGGTGGCGGCACTAGGAAGGTTGAGAACCACTCTACTAGGTCACCATCTGCTGAATGAACAAATGACTATTTCCCAGCCTTTCCGAGGCACACTCCGTTCTCTGTCCAGGACTCCAAAAGGAACCGCCAACGCAGGCCTCGGATTTGTCTCAAGAACTGACCCCCAGGACTAGCACGGCGTAGGGCTCGGGAGAGGAGCGGCTTTTACCTGTTGAATGACGTCCTGGGCGGTGCTGACACGAGGCGCTTTGATGACCGTCCGGGGCTGCTCGGGAGAGACATCATGCACTTGGACAAAGAAACTCTCCTCTTCTGAGCCGCAGGTCACCTCTCTGTCATCTTGAACAATGCTCTTCTCATCTTGGTTCTGTGTGAAAATAAGTAAAAAGAAAGAAAAGAAACTTCAGGGTATAGAAATACAGATTTTTTAACAAAAATGAAAAATTCCCATTCCAACTCATTCTCTACACTACTCGCTGGTTGTTGGGTTATATATCTTTTTAGATATTTGCTATGGTTATACAAGCGTACTTTCATGCATCTGAACAAATATATAAACATTAAAAGCCTGGACCCATTTGCATTTAGATCATGATTATCATCAATTGGCACCTATGTTTTTCTCAATTCGCATTACTATATGAGGGTTAGCAGCTTCAAACGATCTTCTGTAGACGGAGATCTGGGAAAACGAGGCCAGGTAAGGACACATGAAACAACCCCATCTCAGCAGGTGAGAATTTGGCAGAAAGGTCTCTGTATTCCCAGCATTCTCTTAGTCTAATCTCTTGCGGTACCCTCCTGGCACAGTGGTTATACGTTGGACTGTGATCTGCAAGGTCGGCAGTTCAAAACCACCAATGGCTCCTTGGGATAAAGATGAGGCTTTCTACTGCTGTCAACAATTACACTCTTGGAAACTCACAGGAGCAGTCCTACCCTGTCCTATAGGGTCATTATGAGTTGGCATCAAGCGATGGCAGTGAGGTGGGGTTGTTGTTTTTGTTTTTTTAAATTTCTTGGGACTCAGCCAGTGAGATGCTGCTAACTAGACTGAAGAAAACAAGAATCATTGTCACTATCTTGGGTGTTCCTAGAGCCCAAGATGCAGAATTGCCCCATTAATATCAAAGTCAGAATGACCAGTGCCCTCAGGTGGAGCCAAGCTGCAACCAAGGTCGCAAGGAACTGGTTACGGGGGCTTCTGGTCAGTCAGTTACACTGGGACAGAACTGCCCCAGTTGTTTCATTAACCTTTCAGTCACGGGACTTATAATTTATAGCACTGGAATTTCTGGACTCTGTTCATATTATGGAAGAAGAGTTATCTATTTTTATATCACAAAATGAGATTTTTTTCTATGACATATGCTATTATACAACTTCTTTCACCCTCCATTTGAAGACGGCTGTCATTATTGATGGCAGTTCTTAGATCTCCCTGATAAGATATGACTACAAAATATACTGTTGTGCTCATCCATAGACATCTAAGGAGTCAAAGAGCTGAGGGACAGGACATATGACGTAATTTATAGTCTCGACAGCCTGGACATTTGAATACAAACAAGGGAAAAAAATAAAACAAACAAAAAAGGTTCCAAACAGCCAATTGCCCATGCCCTGAGCAGTCTTTCTTCAGATCGCACGTGCTTCTGATGACTCTTTAACCACCTCAGAGAACACAGGTGATGAACAAAAGATAAAAACCACAGCCCCATGTGTACAGCCTGTTCCAGTTCATCAAGCCTTTTCCCTCCACAAGGTCTATAGATTTGACATGAATCTCACAACAGTTTGTGAGCCAAGTAGGAAGTTTCTTGGAGCCTTGGTGGCTTACGGCCTTGGGCTGCTAACCACGAGGTCAGCAGTTAAAACCGCCAGCCACTTCACAGGAGAAAGAGGAGCTTCCTATTCCCATAAAGAGTTCTAGTCTCAGAAACCCAGCGGGGAAGTTCTAGCCTGCCCTACAGGGCCCTATGAGTTGGGACTGACTCCGGGACAATGAGTTGTTATGAGGGTCGTTTTTATTAGAAAAGGCAAACATTACCGTCGAGTCAATTCCTGCTCATGGTCGCTGTATTAGTCTGGGTGCTTTAGAGAAACAAATCCACAGAAACTCATGTAAAAGAGAGAGTTTTATATAAAGGTTAACTGTGCATCAAGAAAAACATCCCAACTCAGTGCTGCCCAAGCCCACAAGTCCAACATTAACCCGTATGTCCAATACCAGTCCACAAAGTCCTCCTCCATTTCACAAAACAGATGCAATGACGCCGACTGCAGGAGGAAAGCCAAGTCAGTGAATGTGTGAGCATCTCAGCGCTGGCAGGGGTCTCCACATGGCTGCTCCAGCACCCAGGGCTGCATCGGGGTAGGCCCATGTGGCTTCTCCTCAGAGATGTCTTGCAGGAAGTCAGCTTTGCAAGCTGAAGCTGGAAACTGCTAAGGCAGCTGCACCCTGGTGCGACCATCACGAAGCAAGAGACCCGAGCCATTTATCCTTCCACCCTTCAATTAGCCCCACATGTGTTTATCGGCCAGGTTGGCACAATAAACTAACTAACTCATTCGCCCTGTGGGGCGGAGCAGCACAGCCGCAGAGGGTCTCTCAGGACGTAAGCTTGAAGGAAGCAGACCACCACATTCTTCTCCTTCAGAGCAGTAAGGGGATTTGAACTGCTAACATTTTGGTTAGTTGATGGGCTCTGAACCACTAAGCCACCAGGGCTCCTTAGTTTTTATTACACATTTTACAAATGAGGGCACTGAAGGTTACATTAGTTAGATGACGTGCGCCCAAGGTCATGGAATGAAGGACAGAGCCAGGCTTGTTTGACTTCCACTCTAGTATCTATCAGAGGGAGGTGCTCAGACGGCCTGGAGATAAGATAATTATAAAAGGCCGGCAGGAGAGATCAGAGGTCACAATAGTTTGGAGGCTTTTAATACATACGCAAACTGCTAGAATAGCTTTCTTTCTTTCTTTTTTAAAATCATTTTATTGGGGACTCTTTTAGCTCTTATCACAATCCATCCATACATCCATCGTGTCAAACACTTTTGTACATATGTTGCCATCATTTTCAAAACAGTTTCTTTCAACTTGAGCCCTTGGTATCAGCACCTCAAATAGCTTTCTAGACCCTGAAATCCCACCCACTGCCACTGAGTTCATTCTGAAGCCTGGTGACCCCGTGAGACAGAGTGGCACGGGATCCACGGTGAGACTGTGAAGCTTTATGGAAGCAGACAAACACACCCCAAAAAACACACAGCCCTCGAAACCAGCGTGCTGCCCCGGAGTCAATGCCACCTTTCAGTGACCCTACAGGACGGGGTAGGATTGTCCCAGTGAGTTTTCAAGACTATCAGTTTTTCAGGGAGTAGAAAGCCCCATCTCTCTCCCGAGGAGTTGCTGGTGATTTTGAACTGCTGACCTTGCAGTTAGTAGCCCAACAGGTAACTCACTGCAACACCGGGGATCTTTAGAGTAAAATGAGTGAAAATGTTTACAGCCCAGTCTCTGGTAAGTTAGTGCCCTCTTACATTCAATGATTCCCGAATTCCTCCATTCAACTGGGAATGAGGGGGCTTCGAAAAGTTTATAGGAAAAAATGGCAATGGATCATGGAGTTTTCCCACAGCTATTTGAACCCTTCCTCTTATTATTGATCATCACCCCATACTGTGCAAACCTTAGATATGTGATGGCAAATGTGATGTGCTAGCTTTTGAGATGTGTTTCACTATTTTAGAAAGTCTCCTCTCAACAGCGGCACCTCCAGGCTGACCTCCTAGGTTCCTCCCATCAGAAGGCCCTTGCTACTTCTCCCTGGGTGTTTATCCCCTTTCCCTTCAAATACCTTTCTTTTACACCAACCCCGATTAAGCCCAGATTCCGGGGAAACCTGTGCCTGCTGTGACAGACACTTCAGATGAAATATGGGCATTTCTGACCTCTTCAGTTCGGCCACATGTTGAGGACGGAACTGTGTTCCACTCCTCAGAAGATGTACTCAAGTCCTAACTTGCAGTCCCTGCAGCTGTTACCTTATTTGCAAAGAAGTGGATGTAATTAATTAACAGGAGGTAGATGAACCCTCATTTCTTTACAACTGGTGTCAACGTTATCAGAAGGGACCAGTGACTAAGCACCCGGCTGCCACCCCAAAGGGCAGTGGTTCCAACCCCCCAGCTGCGCACAGGGCAAAGCTGCGACAGACGGCTTCTGATGAGGATCAAGCCTTGGGAGCCCGATGGGGAAGTTCTACTTCTCCGAGAGCAGAGATTGGCCCACTGCGGCCCTCATGCCACGTGGGGCTCTTTGGGTACATCTGTAGTAAACATTTTTTTTAAGGATATTATTCAGATAACATGATTTCATTTGTCAAAATCTGTTTCTGGCTCTCAAATGGTTTCTAAATAACTGTGAGGCACACGATTGGCTCTTCCACTCAAAAGTTTGCCAACCCCTGTCCTGCAGACCCCCATGAGCTGGAATCAACCCAACAGCTGCGAGGATTCCTTCTAAGAAGAGAAGAGACACAGAAAGACAGATGATGACAGAGCCAGAGATTGAAGTAGTGCTGCCACAAGCCAAGGGATGCCCCCAGCCACCAGAAACAGTGGGTTCAAAGGATGACCTTTCTGTTAGCAGCGAGTGCTTAACCAGCCGGCCACACGGCACCTCTCCCTGCCATGGAGAGTATCACGATCACATGGAACTAGTTAATGAGGTGCGGAGTCTGGCTGGTGGCACGGATTCAACAGCACTCCAATAACAGCCGCAGCCACGAATGAGGGAAGACAGAAACACGGGGGAAGAGACATGCAAAGAAAGCCAGCATCTCTGGAGGAAGCAGGGCCCTACTGGCACCCTGACTTTGGACTTCATAGTCTCGGGAGTCTGAGAAAATACATTTCTGTGGTAATTTCTTACCACAGAACGAATTATCCTAAGAAACAAATATAAGCAATATAAATGACAGCCAAGAGCAGACCCAGTGCCTCTCGCAGGGCCCAAGAGGATGGCACAGCGTCCGCCTGGGCACACGGCTTGGTGGACAGAACAGTGGGTGTGACTCTAAGACATGAGCCCTTTCTACGGCTGCCTTGCCATGACGAAGCCTCCCGGAGCCCCGTTTCTTGCGTGTAAGGGTTCCACTTCCCTCACGGACCGTTCAACGTCATTGGAATGAGCGAGTACAGTAGCACATTAGGCAAACACTCCAGGGCAGCAACTCTGGTTTCGAGGGCTGTGTTTTTTGGGGTGTGTTTGTCTGCTTCCATAAAGCTTCACAGTCTCACCGTGGATCCCGTGCCACTCTGTCTCACGGGGTCACCAGGCTTCAGAATGAACTCAGTGGCAGTGGGTGGGATTTCTGGGTGCAGAAAGCTACTCGAGAAGCTGATACCAAGGGCTCAAGTTGAAAGAAAATGCATTGAAAATGATGATGGCAACGTATGCACACATGTGCTTTCAGCACTGTAAGACATTATGCAAACATATGGTTTAAAAATATACTTATTCAACCCCTCAGACCAATAATGAGAGTAGCCATACCAGGAGGGTAAGGGGAAGATGGGGGGAGGAGGGGGAACCTATCACAATGATCTACATATATCCCCCTCCCAGGGGGATGGACAACAGAAAAGTGGCTGAATAGAGGGTCAGTATAAGACATAAAAAAATAACAACAATTTCTAAATTATCAAAGGTTCGGGAGGTTCGGGAGGGAGGAAAAAAATGAGGAGCTCAACCCAGATCTAAATAACACACTCAACCAACTTGACCTCTTAGACCAGTGGTTCTCAACCTTCCTCATGCCATTACCCTTTCAGACAGTTCCTCATGTGGTGATGACCCCGAACCACCACATGAGGCATTGTGTGAAAGGGTCGCGGCCTGAGAACCACTGCCCTCGAAGCTAATGTTCCCATGCAGCTCATGAACCAGGGGAGGCGCTTTGGTGGTCGAATTGATTCGATGGCTCCCAACAAAACAGCTAAAACACAAAACAAAACGGAGGAGGAGGGAAGGCCATTAGAAATATGGTGGGGGGGCGGGTGTTATCCTTGAGAGAGAAACTAAGAGTAACTCAAAGGCCCGGCAGAGCCACTCACTCGCTATTTTCCCATAAAGCGACTGTTACAGAACCGCTTGTTCTTGACCTTAGCAATTGGTTTCTTTTTTTTTTTTTTTTTAGCAATTGGTTTCTGATGGGGGCGATCATTATGCTTCTTTGCTTCAACGGAGTGGCCTTTTAGGGAAGGCAGGTG